CGACCCCAGGCCACGTATCCCACCCGAGCAGAGGGGCCGGCCTGCAGCTCTGAATAAGCTGTCACTGGAGGCCCCCATCCACATTCAGGGCCCAGGCAGGGCCCCTCGCTCTGCAGAGACAGCACCACAGTGACAAAGTCCCCACAAAAGCAGGACCAGCCCTGCCCCCGCCCCCCGCCTGGAACCCCTAGCACCCCGCAGTGCTGTGCGCCGCCCCTCCCCCGGAAGGGCCCAGCCTCAGAGCCGCTCTGCTCGAGGACAAGGGTCCCAGGCGGGCCCCACGTCGCGGGCAGGCCCAGCCTGCGGCCTGGCAGAGAATCGGGGTGACAGCGGTACACTTCAAAGGACATCCTGGCCCCTTTATGTAAACCCACGTGGCCTCTGATGGTCCCGGGGGAACAGGCCCTTGGCGCCTCCAAAGCCCTGGCCTACGGCTACTTCTTCCTTTTTGGAAATGTGGCCCAGCTGAGGCCACGGGTCCTCCCAGGGCCCATCCAAACTCACCACAGACCGAGCCCCGGGACACTGACAGGCCTGGGGCGGGGCCGCAGAGCACATCGCCGCCACAAACGGCTTTCCGCGTCTGAACACTGCCCGGCGCGGGGAAGGTGGAACCCACATTTCCTGCTGGGCTGGGCAAGGGAGCCCAGCCCTGGGCAGGGCCTGACGGCACAGGGGCCTGGCTGGCCGCCCTCACCTCACACCGCCGCTGTAAAACCCACGTCCAATAACACAGGAAAAACCCTCTGAGTTCTTTCCACACTTGCTGCCCAGGTAACCGCCCAGCGTGGTGGGCGATCCAGTCTTACACACGATCTCCCAGCTGGGCTGACACACGGCGGGCCATGCAGGAGGACGGGACGAGCTGGTCCCAGCCCCCCACTGGGCGTGTCGGGCGCAGGGGACTGCCCAGCATGGGCCCCACCCGGAGCAGACTTGGAACAGAGAGTGATCAGCGGGCAGTGAAAACCTCACAGAGGCCGGAGCAGAGGCCGTCATGGGTCACAGGACCGAGCTGCTGGAGCATGTAATGAGCGCCTACTGTGTACTGCATGCAGCAGGGCCGCGGAGCAGGCAGCTCTGCGGGGATCAGGCTACGCCTCGGGCTGTCAGCTCCACGGAGAGGCCGGGGCCGCAGAGGAAGGCGGCCCAGACGGAGCACCCCCGCTACCACGGGGTCACAAGCCAAAAAGACTCGGCGGTCACGGGTGGGTGTGGACGAGGCGCTCGGGTCCGTTCGGGGTCACGGTGTGGGGCGGCAGGGGAAAGAGTGCTGAGCTGGCTGGCAGGTGCAGGGCCGGCGGGCGTGGACCTGTGCAGGGGCAGACACACCTGCGGGAGGGTGAGGGCGGGGATGACCCAGCACAGCCCCGCACTTTCCTCCAGACACCTTCTGGAGAGCAAGCACAGCAACGCTCCCACCCCACCTCACTTAACCCTCCCTCAGCCTCCGGGCCTGGCTCAGACTGAGCTTAATAAACAAGTTCAGTTCAGTTCAGTTACTCAGTCGTGTCNATGCCATGATCTTAGTTTTCTGAATGTTGAGCTTTAGGCCAACTTTTCCCCTCTCCTCCTTCACTTTCATCAGGAGGTGCTTCAGTTCCTCTTCTCTTTCTGCCGTGAGGGTGGTGTCGTCTGCATAGCTGCTACTATCACTGTGTCTCCCCTTCTTAATGTGACGGGGAAAGCAAGGTTCAGAGGAGGTCACAGCTTCTAGACTGATGATGGAGCCCAGGGTTCCCCCTCTCCGCCTCCGCCAGCCCATCAGGACCTGCTGGTAGGACCAGGGAGCCAGGCTCCCAGAGGCCCAGCCTGCTCAGCTGCAGGGCTGGGGGTTCACCATGTTCTCAGCAAACACCCTGATTTTCGGCATGCACGCCCAGAAACATAAACCACAGCCATGGAGACCACGGGAAACATGCAGCAGTTCCTCAAAAAACTAAAACCGGGACCACCGTATGATCCAACAATTCCGCGCCTGGGTATAGATTCGAAAGAACTGAAAGCAGGGACTCAAACAGACACTGGTACGCCCAAGTTCATGGCAGCCAGAATGAGGAAGCGACCCAAGGGTCCTCAGCCCGGGGTGGATAAACAAAACACCATCCCTACCCAAGAGGGAACATTATTCAGCCTCAAGCAGGAAGGGAGAGCTGACACAGGCCACAAGCCGGAGGGGCCCTGAGGACCGCAGGCTCCGTGAGATCAGCAGGTCACAAAAGGCCAAATACTGTGCTATCCGCTTACACAAGGCGCTGAGGAGTCAGGGCCCCCGGACGGAGAGCAGACGGCGGGGCTGGGGCCGGGACAGGCGAGGGGGAGTGAGCGCTGAACAGGGACAGAGCTTCAGCTTGGGAGGAGGAGGAAGTTCTAAAGATGGGTGTACATTGACTGCATAGCAAGCACAATGTGAATGTACTGAACCGCACACTCTGCTTCATTATCAGACACGATGGAGGGACTTCCCTGGTGGTCCAGTGGCTAAGACTCCACACTCCCAGTGCAGGGGGCCCGGGCTGGATCCCTGGTCAGGGAACTAGATCCCACATGCCACAACTAAGACCCGACCCAGGCTGATACATAATTAAAAAAATAAATAAGACACCACACAGCTACAGTCAAGAGTTAAAGTGTGATGACAGCACATGAATACTGGGCAAGGCCATGAAACAAATTTGCCAAAACAGACCCAGACTGAACTGGGGTCAAAGGGGCCTCCTAAGTTGGAGGGAAACACACAGACTTCAGCAAATGAAGATGGGACATCCTGAGCTTCTTGGGAAAGATAACCCTGGAGCCTCATCTCATACCCTCCCCAAAAAACTCAAAATAGACCAAAGGCTTGAGTGTAAAATAAGGAAGGCTGCAAAGGAGCCGAGGCTGGGGGGTGGTACTCAGAACCTGGGGCTGGACAGACTCTTGCCAAGCAAGACACAACACAGGATAAAGGAGAAGACAGATTACCCTAAAAACACATTTCTGCAAGGCAAAAACCTCCACCAGTAGTCAAATATACATGCTAACACAGAGAAAAACATTTGCACCACATATTATGAAAGATTAATTTGTCTAACTTTGAAAAACAGCCCTGGGGGAAAATAGCCAGGAGATATAGAGAGTCCACAGCAAAAGAAAACAAACAGTCCTCCAGCACATGGAACGATGATTAACCTCCACTCACAAAGAGAAAAACAGAAATTAAGATTACACGGGGAAGCCATTTCCCCAACAGACTGGGGGAGAATGCAGCACGTGGGTGAGACCGCGAGGAGGCGGGGTCCCCCAGCGGGGGGTGGAGCAGAGGGCAATTCCGCAAAATCCAGGGAAATCACACTTCCGCTTCCAGGAGTGTCTCCTACTCACACGTGCAAAATGACGTGCGGCGAGGCCGTTTCACACAGTGTGCGCGAGCTACCTGCCCAGAGTGGGGTCCTTGCGCGCGGGTGTCCCCCAACCCGAGTCCTGGGACTACGTGGGGGGAGGGGGCATGCGGGACGGAGACCCGGTGGGGGCTTCAGCCCCTTCTGAACAGACTTCCTGCATGTGTGGACCAGACCATGTCAATGAGGTTCAAAATTAAGGTTTTAAAATGAAAGAAATAGGAAGGATTCAAACGAAACAGAGAAAGAACTAAAAGAAGCCCTCACTCAGCAGGGCAGGGACCTCTCTCTCCCGCTGCTCAGAGCGTGGTCCGGGAGCCTGGGGGTCCCCGAGACGCTTTCAGGACACCCAGGAGGCCAGATCTACTGAGCGGCAATCCTGAGACTCCATGTGCTTCCCAGACTGGTCCTGCTGATGGGTGAGGGGGTGGGGTAGGGACCGGAGGAGCCAGCCATCTTCAGTTGACCAGATCCTGTCAAGGCCTGCAAAAACCACCACCTGCAAAACCCTTCACTAATTTCCCCCATTTGGGGAAAACTACTGACTTTAAAAAAAAACAAAATTACACTATTTATGTTAACGTGTAGTGGGTTTACAGTGGGCAGTTTTTAATAAATCAGCATTTGTAAATTTCCTAGCTTAATTTCTAACATGGGAAAGAGCAACAGATACATCTCACATAAGCAGGCTTTCTGGTGACCTCGCTAACTCACGAGCAGAGGGGTTCCAAGACTGGAGCCTGAGACCCTGAGGCCTGTCCCGGGGACGCGGGGAAGGACTGCAGGCACAGCTTGGACACACTGCCCCGAGCACGCCCCCACCAGCCCGAGGCGCCCATGACCCCAGCCCTAGCCTTTGGGCCGCTGCAGCTGGGCACTGGCAGAGGGCTGTGCCCACAGACATAACCCAAAACCCTGGGTCAGGAGGTGAGGGAGAGGCAGAGAGTCGGCCACACANCCGAGCGCGCCCCCACCAGCCCGAGGCGCCCATGACCCCAGCCCTAGCCTTTGGGCCGCTGCAGCTGGGCACTGGCAGAGGGCTGTGCCCACAGACATAACCCAAAACCCTGGGTCAGGAGGTGAGGGAGAGGCAGAGAGTCGGCCACACATGCGAAGCAGGCTGGACAACCGGCCTGGCCTGGCCCCCACGCCCAGCCCCGGCCACGGTGTGCCCTGCAGAGCGGCCTGGGGTCTCACACACACCACGCCCAGGCTTGGCCTCTTCGGTGGGCATGGGGGGCCATGGACCGGAGGCTCGGCACCAGGAGAGGGCGTGGCCTCGGGGGGTGGGGATAGGGGGGCGCTGAGCCATCCTGCCCTGCGGAGAGACCCTCACAGGGACCTAACATGCTGCCACCAGGAGAGAGGCAGGTGGGTGCCGGGCTCAGCCAACATCTGTGGGCACAGTTACAAGCTGGAGTCGGAGTTCTCCAGACCCCCGGCGCTGCCCGCCTGGAGAAATCAAGGCAGGCAACATCCCATTTCCAAAAAAGGTGCTCTGGAAAGAACGATCCGGCGGCTACAGGGCTCCCCGGTCTGCAGGACCCTGGGACAAATCATCTTGTAAACGGCAAGCCGTTCCCAGAGCCTGAGAGCTGAGACTGCAACTCTTCACTTTACCTGCAATTCCATAGGGAGAGCGCATCGCTGGTAGCAAGAGGCACCTGGGATTCTCCTGACCCAGCCTCGAGCGGAGGGCCCCACGTGGGCAGCGCCTTCGGACAGTCGCTTTCCTGCACGGGGGATTAAAGCAGAGTGAGTCCTTGCTTTGGGAGGACAGACGTGGCGGAAACCACTGGCCTGCGTGGCTACGAGGCTCCAGGCGGCTCAACCGTGCACACACTTTCAGCTCCGGCTTCCGGAGAACTGAGTGACGACACGAAGTGCAGGTTACAGCACTGGGAGACATCAGCGCTTAATAACCCAAAGCACAGCTTGAAAATAATGGCTCAAGGTCTGAAAAGCTAACAGCCGTCTGCATCCTACATAACTAACGATGTGACCGCTCACACACACAGGCTCCTCCACCGGTGCCCTGGGCAGCTCCAGGGCAGGACTGACCACACAGGACTGGTGCCCCAGGTTCCACCAATCTGCTGGGGATCCGGCAGTCTCGGGCCGTCCTGCCCTGACCCCACCTCTCAGCCAGCCGTCCCCGCACGGCCCGTGTCACGGCACTTCATCGTAAGCAGGGCAGGGGCATGTAAAGTGTCTCGTGTCCGGCTGCGCACAGACAGGGCCCCACACCTTGTCAGTTAGAATCCTCAGGCAAGGAAAACCAGTGAGCAAGACAGAGACTACCCCCGCCCCACCTCCTCCCGACACTGCGTTCCCGGACTCCACCTGCCACGGCAGAAGAGAACCAAACAGCTCTCTAGCGTTTTCAAAGTCTGACCACAAAAACACAGCCACTGACAAACCCTTAATGCACTGAAAAATCATGCTCATCAGAACATGCCACATTGTGCTGCATCCGAAAGGCGAGTTAGGAAAGCAGATAAAATGGATAAAAATCTCCACTCTCCATAAACTTGCCCCCAGAAGAGTAGCCTGCAAATACAGCTGCCCTTGTAAACCCGCCAGAAACCCGAGGGCGCTCACTCAGGGCTCCCCCAGACCCGAGTCAGAGCCCAGCTCGCCGCACGTCCTCACCCAGGCACCGCGGGGGCCCCGCTCGGCTCTCGGGGAAAACCCCACACGCCACGGAAACAGATCCCGGGGGGCCTGTGGCTGCCGGGCTCCCGATCCTGCCGGGATCCGCTGGCCCTGGGCAGCCAGGCCGGTCGGCCCAGGCGGCTCCTGCGCCCACACCCAGCCAGGCCACCAGCATCAAAGCATCAGAGCACCTGCTCGCCGGTCAGAGCCACTTCAGAACCCTCCCAGACTACGGCCGAGGGGCCTGAAGGTCTGGTCCTGGATTCCCCAGGGAGGGCAGGACTTGGGGAGAGCAGGCATGGACGCCTGGCTTAACCAGATGGATGGGTTTCCAGTCCCACCTGGGGAGGCGGCTGGGCCACCCTGCAGCTCAATCAGGAGGCCTCGGCAACAGCGGGGAAGGCCCTGAGATGACAAGACAAGGCCGCCTTCGGGGCCTCACCTCTCCACTCCAAAAGGGAACAGAATCCCACCAACTGGCTCAGCGGAGAAGACAGGAAGACCCACAAAGCCCTGCCAAGCACCGCCCCCCGCCCCCAGGAGAGGGGTGAGGTGCCCGCAGTTACCACACAGCTGCTGCGGCAGGCAACCCGCGACCCCTCAGGAGAGGCTTCCCGGACACCCGTCAGTCCCTCACACACACCTGGGCAGGCTGACAGCTCTGGCCCATCCCTGCGAAGGAATAGGGAAGACCCTAAAGCTGGGTCTCGTAGCAGGGAGCTGGGCTGGGCACACGGCGGCCTGTCTGGGGAGGCGTAGGGATGCTGCAGCCACTTGGCCCCCAAGCCCCTCTGGGAGCGCTGGAACCACGCGCACGTGACCCTGACCGTGTCCACAGAGAGCCCTGCCCACCAGTCCAGCCACTGGGGACCCGGGCTCAACGCGAAGGGCAGGGGGTGGCCGGGCCCCTTGCCAGGAGGCCGGCTCATCCTTCCCCACCGCGAGGCCCCAGCCTGCCCACCCCTTTCCCGGATGAGCCCATGAACAGGGCAACAGGAGCATCTCACACCAAAGACCTGGGAGGCCCGGCTCGGCCGCTGGCCGTGGGCAAAGGGCCCGTCGCCCGTCATCCCCGCCGGGCAGGCAGTGCCGGGTGGTGCTGCAGGCCGGGGGTCCTCTGCGTTCACATCTCAGCATCCCCCACAGCACAGGGAGCCCTCGATGACCCGGGGTGTGGTGAGCCAGGAGAGCTGCTCCCCTGGTGACCGCCTGCATGGCTCAGGTTGGGGGTGCACACGGGGCGGGAGTGTCGGCCCCCGGAAACGAGGGAGCTGGGGGCACACAGCGGAGGTCTCAGGCTCAGCGACGGCGGGGTGGGGCGGAATCCGGAAGGCCCCAGCTTCTGGCGGTGAACTCGAGGGTGCCTGTTACACTAAAAGTTACTAACTAAACAGAGCAGAGGCCCTGCATGACCTGAAAAGGCTGCACACCGTGACCGAAGGTCTATGACGTCTCCAATTCAATGCACCTGCGGTCCAAAGACAGGAAAAAAAGAAGATCCGGCCCACAAGTCTCCCCTGAAAAGTCTCCTCGAGGCCCACATACGCCACTCCGGAAACTCGGTCTCGGAAGCAGCGCGTCCTGCAACCTGCCCCCCACGTCTGGCAGCCAAGCAGCTGAGAGGCCCCTGGACCATCTGCTGGAGGGACCAGAGCCTCACATCCCTCTACTGCGTCCGCCTGAAGGCCTCACGTTAAGGATGCTCACAGCCAGGCTCACCCGCAGGGAAACTTCTGGCTGAAGCTGTGTTTAGGGGGAAAAAAAAGAGTTGGCAGGTGGGAATCAGGTGGGAATCCAGCCACAGCTTGTCAGAATTCAGCCTCAAGTCAGAATTCATGAGGATTTTTTAAACATCTCCACGAGATTTACTTCTGCTTGGGGTGAAGTCTGTGTGTTAGTCGCTCAGTCGTGTCCAACTCTTTGGGACCCCGTGGACTGTAGCCCACCAGGCTCCTCCGTCCATGGGATTCTCCAGGCAAGAATACTGGAGTGGGTTGCCATTTCCTTCTCCAGAGGATCTTCCCGACCCAGGGATCGAACCCAAGTCTCCAGCAACGCAGGCGGATTCTTCACCTTCTGAGCCACCAGGGAAACCCCTGGGTAAAGAGGAGGGTCTGCAAACCAGGCAACAAGGTTCCCACGTCACTCAGGCAGGAACAGCATCTGTAACCATCTGAGAAGAGTGAAGGTAACATTGATTCCTTTATGTTTTTGTTGCAACGATTTCTTTTTAAAAAACCCACATGGAGAGAATTCTAATTTAGGTTATGCTGGTGCACAAAAATAATCCCAGAGTAGGGTTTGTATCTTCTAATTACACAGAATTTAGGACGAAATATTCATGCAAGTGACTCTGAAATACTTTATAAATAGGTCATCACCGGCTCTTTCTGTTGCCAGGAGTTTTAAACTCAGCAGAGCAGGGTCAGCCTGAGTGTGCAGACCAGTGACAGGCAGGGGCCTGCAGAACCCTCCCGTGGTGCCGGCTGCGTCCTGGGCTGGCTGAGGTCAGAGCCAGTGGGAGGGCCGGTCTGAGAAATGTAAGCCTAGGGCTTCCAGGTGGCACCAGTGGTGAAGAACCCACCTGCCAATGCAGGAGACGTAAGAGACGCGGGGTTCAGTCCCTGGGTCGGGAAGATCCCCGGAGAAGCGCATGGCAACTCACGCCAGTATTCTTGCCTGGAGAGTCCCAGGGACAGAGGAGCCTGGCGGGCCACAATCCACGGGGTCACAGAGTCGGACACGCCTGAAATGACTGGGCACGCGTGCAAGGAATGCAGAGACCGTCAGGACGGAAACCCGCTGGTGCAGAAGGCGGCGGCCCCCCCGCCTGCTCCCAGCCCAACAGTGAACACGAGCAGGAGAGAAACCCAACCCGGCCGGGCCCCACCCCGAGTGACCGGGTCGGCGTGAGGCCTGGGCTGGGCGTCCTCGCTCCAAGGACCCCGTGCCAACAACTCACTCCAGTGATCGTGCTTTTTTAGATTTTTTTTTTCTGATTCTTTAGTTTTTTTTTTTTCCTAATAGGAACCATTTTTAAAGACTTTATGCAATTTGTTACAATACTGTCTCTGTTTTTCACATTTTGGTTTTTCGGCCAGGAGGAATGTGGGATCCAAGCTCCCTGACCAGGGATTGAACCCACACCCCACACACTGGAAGCAAAGTCTTAACCGCTGAACCACCAGGGAAAGCCCTACTTCGTATTTCTAATCAGAAAGTTAAGGGGCTAATTATCAAAGATACACACTCGCGTAACTTAAAAGGAGATGGATGGTCAACTCAAGTTAGCAAGGTGGGGAGTCTGGGGGAACAAGCGCCAGCTGGCGCCCCCCCCCTCCCCCCAGCACACCCTGATGCCCTCGGCCAAGCGCTGGGCACACACTTAGTGTCCCATCAACGCCATGGCCCACCCCCTCCCTTTGTGGCGGGCAGGGCAGGTAGGACTCGGGCCTCCCGGGGGTCTAACCAGGGACGAAAGCCTGGCCTCGTTCAGATCTGTCAACGCGGGCCCAAACCACACGGTCCACTATCAGATACAGCAGCAGTTCAGTCCCGAATCAGATAACCAAGAGGAAGAGGCTTTCCCAACTGCATGGGCCCAGATAAGGAAGGACCACCTCCACCCACCTCGGCCCCGGCCAGGCCCCGCCTGCTCCTCCAGCTTCCCTAAGCTGGAAGCCTCGTGGTTAGGACCCTGCGCTTCTGTCCCTGGTCAGGGGGCTAGATCCCACGCCCCGGGATCCCAGCTTGTGTGCCAGGTGGAGCCGGCTAAGGTTGGGGGCGCCTGGCACCTGCAACTGAACAACGGCTGTTGCGGGACAGAGGTGGGCGCGGTGGTAAAGCCCTCGGGCACACACAGAAAGGGGGGGGGCGGTCACCCAGAGCCCGGAGGGGGGGACCAGGGGCAAAGGGTTACGGTCTACACGAGGCCCCACGTGCTTTACCAGAGAGGACAGCTTTGACCTTCAGAAACACTCAAACCCAACAGGAGTGAGCACGTCAGCCAGGGACAAGGCCGTGGGCCTGTGGGCAGCAAGCGGCCAGCCCCTTACCGGGACTCTGCCTCCCACTCACTCATGTGCCAAGCGGGGACAAGGCGGCCCCTTCCGGGGTGGCCGTAGGGGTGGCAGCCATCCACACACACCCCCTGGCCCCACCGAGGGGGGGTCGTGCCCAGGGCATCCTCAGGCAGCCCGCCTGATGCCCCCTGGCCAGCCGGGGTCCCGCCACCGTCCCTCTGGGCCAGTGAGGGGGGTCCCCGACATCCCCGGGCTCCTTTGAAGACAGCTGGTTCCCCCACAGCAGAGGCGGCTGCCTGATGCCGACCATTGGCTGAGGCTTCTCACGGCTGGCGAGCAGCCGTGTCTCTCCTCCCGCCTCCAGTAGGCCGGCCTCTAGCCGACGCTGGACTGACCCTGGCATCCAGGAGGCCTGACCCCCCTTCCAGGCGCTGCCAGGGGGCCTCCCCAGAGACCTCTGCTCCTCGCCTGCCAGGTGGAGGTGGGGATGGGGGCGGTCACGCAGGCTCCTGGGCGCGCTCTGTCCTCCCCACCTACAGGCAGGCGCTCGGGGCTGGCAGCCCACGAGGGCTCCTTTGAAGACAGCTGGTTCCCCCACAGCAGAGGCGGCTGCCTGATGCCGACCATTGGCTGAGGCTTCTTACGGCTGGCGAGCAGCCGTGTCTCTCCTCCCGCCTCCAGTAGGCCGGCCTCTCGCCGACGCTGGACTGACCCTGGCATCCAGGAG